TCGTTGTGCACCATGAGAAAGCCTATAGTAGGCGTGCAGGCGTATTCGCTGGTCCAACAACACGTCGACCCCCACCACCAAAAGGGACGGTCTCTCCGGACTTCCTTGAACCTCTTGCAATGGTACTCCTGCACCGGAACAATGTGAGTTTCTGTGGAGCTGAGCGGCTTGAGTTCCTGAATCATCGACTTGCAGCAACACACGTCGTCGATGAGAGCTTGGTCTGCGACTGTCGATTCCGAAGCAGAGGGTCGGAAGCCTTCAACTGACACTCCGAGGAGCACCGTGGTGCAGCAAACAAGACGGGTAAACGGCATGTGTGGAATTCCTGGATTTTCAGATGAACTACAACTCTAACACGGCGAAAGCTTGACAAAGGCGGCTTCGGCACATACCGTTTGACAACAGCCTTGTCTTCACATCTCATGTGATGGGATTATGAGCTTATTCGTTTGGTCTTCAACATGACCCCCACAGGGTCCATGCCCCTATTATACCAACAGTAAGCACTTCGACCCAAAGGTAAGTAAGAAGAATGATGGTGATAATAACAAGACTACCAACAATGATAATATTCACAACAGTATACACACACATATATATGTACATATATATATATATATATGTATATTTATTCGTTTTTTACACAGACCAAGAATGAATAAGTTAATGATACAAGCAGCTACAAACAATAAGCAGGTACATGAACGGCTGCACAAATACATGCACAAATCCTGATGATGATGATGATGATGATGATAATGATGATGTCGACGGTGATGATAAGATTAATGCGTACGTACATATAAGTAAATAAACGTGTACATATATATATATATATATTCTATATACATATATATATATATATATATATATATATATTCTATATATATATATATGTATGTATTATATATCTATCTATAGATATATATATATATGACTGTATGTATATATATATATATATATCTTAATCTTTATCTATCTTTAAACATAAGTATATGTATATATATATATATGTATATATATATATATGGTAAAATCTCGTGGTCGGTCTTCTATATCCTTTCTGGGGCAGACACCTGTGCCGCCCGCAGATACCCCTGCCGAACCCGGAAATGACTACCAATGCTTCCGATGCCAATCGGAGAGGTCTGAATAATGAGCCACACAACCTATAAAATTCACATTAATTCGTACATATGTACATACGTAAACAATGTAGGTATATTTGCGCACACAGACCAAACACACCAAAACGCTACATGGCCTCGATTGTGGAGCATTTGCTCAGCAAGTGCTTCCATCGCGGATCGGTGTGATAGACCTTCCACAGTGTCGCGAGTGTGCGCTCGATGGAGCATGGTTAGAGGTTGATTCAGTGTAAGCGTAGTGGAGGCAGCACACGGGCAACATCATAAGCGACCATAGCGCGGATGATGGTGAGGACGATGGCAATGATGGTGAACATAGCAGACAGGCAGCAGTAAAAGGATTTGGCCCATTCACAATCATGACGGAAGCACTTTAGCAGTCGCAACATTACCAAACGTCATTTGTCTGCAGGTCCTCTTGATCTCCAAACTAAAATTCGGTGGCGTGGTACTCGCGCTGAAGACCGGCAGTTTGTTCTGAAATATTTAAACACTTGTGTCGCGTACTTCCCCGGTTGAGAACTTCTCTATCACCAAACAGTTTATAGTCTAGCACATCGACATACAATATACTCCAAACATATCCGACTGCAGACGAGGGTTGTGCGACATTCGGAGACTATCTTATCCCTGAGCGCCCCGAATCCCAAATCCCCTAAACCCTAAGCCCCAAACCTTGGACAACCCTTTTAACTCCCGAACCCCCAAAGCTAAGCCCTGAACCCTCAACCCTACAGCCTGCACATGCAGATCCTCGAGCAGACGGCTATCCAGCTTCCCAAGTTCAATTTGGATGCTCACGGCATCTCGCAATGACTCATTGTTTGCTGGTTCTATGAAACCGCAGCCTCAACGACTCAAGTTGCATGTCGCAGTTCCATGACCAATAGCATTCGCATATCACGTCCTGTTGTCCTTCCAAGCCTTGGGAGCTTCGTGACTCAGTGACATCTGCCATTTCTCCGATTCCATGCGCAAAGCACTCAGAGCACCAGGTCAAGCGCCACCGGGCGCACCACTGTGCCGACAGCGCAAACGAACGGGGTGGTAAAATCCTGGCCTTGCTGTGCCCTGTGCCTTTGCTCTGCTGGCCGTGTCCGTGGCAGGCAGATGGACCTTCTACATCCTTGTACCCAGAGACTCCAATATTCCTTAATTAAGGAATCTTCCTTAAATTATAGTAGGATCCTTAATCTGATTTAAAGAATATTCCTTAATTGAGGGATATTGGAGTCTCTGGGTAGCTTGAGACAGTGAGGCCCCACGTTGATGGTGGTGCATACGCTCCCTGTTCAGTTGCAGTCAGTTGCGGTTTCGACCGCGTTTGCCTTGAGCGCAAACTGCTCGAAAACACAGCTGTAGGAGAGTGGCACCAATCGTGCCAGTGGAGCTTCTTGAGCTTCTTTATAAACTCTTGAAGTAAGATTAAACCCTAAGCCCCTCATTCCCTCAATCCTTCACCCAGCATTATATTTTGTATCTATATGCATTATATGGCCTCTAGCTGCACCGTGTCCACGACTAGCCGCAGTCGGCCGATCCGCTCGCAGCCGCGATCGGCGAAGACGCGGCTCAGGGCCTAAGAACAGACTGTGCCGAAGGTCTATCGCAGAGCATAAACGTACATTTGCAGAGAAGGAAGGAACCAAGACGGGAAGGAAGGAAGGAAGGAAGGTGTACATAAATACATGAATACACAATCATGTAGAACTGTGGATGTTTGTGTCGAAGTCCGACATGCCGCAAGACCCAGAGAGAGAGAGGGAGAGAAACAAAGATTACGGCTAGCTGCTAGCTACAGAGTCCTTGTTCCAAGCTGGCTCCAGAGCTCCAGAACACAATCCTGAAAGCTTTGTGCTGTAAAAAATTGGGTTTAGGGTTTAGGGTTTAGGGTTTAGGGCTGCCTAAACCATAAACCCTACGCGCCCTAAAGTCCTTGCGACTAGTGGCCTGCTTGTCCCCGCTGACGGCTTGATCGAGTCCATCGCGGACGCTCTCAACCTTCTGTCTAGAGGGTTTAGGTCTTGGAGCTTTGGGTGGTCGAGGTGTCAAGGCCTCTAGGGAAAGAAGTTTTGCTCAATCAAGCTTTTGGGGTTTGTAGTTGTCGGTGTGGGGCCTACAGCGTTTGATGTGTGTTTCGGCTTACAACACGAAAGACGCAGCTGATACCTTCCAAGAAACTAGCCCGAGCATCGGCCCTTGACCTTAAACCTTAAACCCTTTCACAAATAACCCGAACTGTTTCAATGCGGCCGACAGTCCCCTCAAGAAAAGAGTGCAATCCCAAACTGTGCAAAGGCCGTCGGTCTGGGACCTTGTGAACACCGCCGAGACATCTTCAACCCGACAGGCTGACTTCCGTGCACCCCACTTGCCCCAATTCAATGATGGATTCATAAGGGAGTTTCCAAAAATTAGGGTACCTTATTTTTGGGTCCTTTTAACAAGGGTCCTACTATTTGGGGTACTATACTAGGGTCCCCTATTTTCGGAAACCCCCATAATATTCAGAACGATACGACGCAACGAACCACCGCAGAAGATGATCAATAGCATATAGCAAGACATATGCGCCACGGCAACCAGCAAGAAGCAGAAGTAGTACGGGCGCTACAACACAACAACAAGAAGACAGGCTGTCCCTAATCAATGCGCTGAGGACAACAACAACAACAGCAACAACAACAACAACAGCAACAAGAACAGCAACAGCAGCAGCAACAACAACAACAACAACATCGGGGTCTTCATCGTCACTCTCTTCAGGATTCTGTAACAGGACTCCGTCAACATCGCCATCAGCATCACAATTATCATCATGCTTGGCACCCTACTCTTCGGCATCATCATCTCACCATCACCGTCACCATAATCGTCATCGGTCCCCTTCCGCATCATCCGCACAATTATACGTATGAACACGTTGTCGATCCTGCCCTTCTCGGCATGGTATCATCCTCCCCTCTCAGCAGCATCAACGCCATCGTCACCGTAGCTCTTACAATCATCAACGCTATGAACATCTACGCTAGTGCCCTCCACATCAACAGACCCCGGCTACCCGCACTGTCGCGCTTTTCATCACCATTCATCACCACCATGACTATCATACTATCATATTTGTCAGCATAACCTTCATACGAACTACAGCATTCGCTCTGCGATTGAGGTGCTACACCACTTCAGGCCGACATCAACATAAGCAACATTCCACCAAAACATGTCGCTCCTCTCACGCTGCTTTCACATATAAAACGAAGAAGAACAAAAATCGTTGAGGCCGAGAAGCCGCTGAAGAAGCTTCCTGCAGATTGCTGCAAGTTCTGCTGTTCTTGGGTATTTCTTGGTGCTTCATCATGTAGACTACCGATGGGAAATGCCTGTTTTACAACGTTGTTGTGCCGATGTATCTTGTGTTGTTCTCCCACAGCTCGTGATGCCTGCGTTGCTGCTATGCCACGTTTTGTAACGACAAATGTTGCTAAAACCATCCATGCCACTACTGCTACTACTACTACTACTACTACTACTACTACTACTACGTGTGCTGGCACTTGTCGTATTTTAAACGCCCGGACCTGCGGAGTGGACGTTCGTGGCCTCCTCCACGTGCAGCGCGAGCTTACGGTCTGCCATGGCTAAGGCTAAGCCCCTCTGTGGCCAACGCAGATGGGTAGTTCTCCAAATTAGAGTCTCTTGTAGGGTCCTTTTTATGAGGGTGCCGTCCTATTTTGGGCCTAAACGGGGACGTTTATTTAGAGAGCTGCAGTCACGTCTCAGTACTCTCTCAGAGAGGACTGCGCCTGGTTGCGGCCAAAGCATGGACTTTTTGCTCCCTTCCGGCCGATGTCAGGATGGAGTACTCTGCCGGTGAGATATGCTTCTGAGCAACAAACGCATGGAGCGTGGAAGATCCTCGCCAGTTTCGGCCTCACAAATCTCTGCCACCGACATTTCACCGGCTTTAAAGCACACCGGGACTTCAGCATCCCTGAAATGCACCTTCTTGCATGTCTCGATCGACTGCTCAGAGTGCTGCCAGCAGTTCAGGTGATGCTGGAGGAAACCTTCCACAAGGCATGCGCTCCTCGTGCTGATCCAACTCGTCAGCTTTGCTCCTGCGTTAACCACCCGGGAATTCCAGGGGAACTCTCAGAGCAAGATGTATAGACCTACTTAAAGGATCATGGGACTTAGTAAGTGGGGTTGTAATTAAGGAAACGATACTTATAACCCCAATTAAGGGACTTATAACCTTACTTACTAAGTCCCATGATCCTCCAAGTATAGAGCCCCGTGCGACCACTTATGTTCCCCCGTAAAGAAGATCCGTGTAAAGCCGGTCACAAAGCCCGGGGGCCTCCGGGGCAGAAGGAGACCTGGAGCGACTCCACTTCGTAGGCCTCCGACGGGCTCACCGTGAGAACCATCTCGGCGACCTTTAGCCCTCCGACCTGCTTCGGGGCTCTCTTGGGCTTTTTGGAGGGTTTAGGGTTTAGGGTTTTGGGTTTGGCTTCGGGGTCGGAGTTGAAGGTTCTGGTTGTCATGGCACCAAAAAAGGAATGCTGACCCAAGGGTCATGCTTTCAACAGTCGTTGAAGCAAGCCTCCAAAACAAAAAGGAAGAAGCTCACACAACATGAGGAGGCTCGAAGGCACAAGGCAGACGTCCATCAACGTTACTGTGGATTACCAATCGGTGTACCTTGCAATGCGATAGACTCGTTTGCTGTAGCTCACAGTACAAACGCGATGACCAAGTGGACCCTGATCCCTCGAAACTCCAAGAAAAGGAACCCGAGTTCGGTACCTTTTTCAAATCCTTACTAGAACTCTATTCTTAGCCCCCCAAAAACACCTCAAAAACCCCCAGAATCCCTAAGAATCCTTCCAGCAAAAAGAAAAATCCGGCTCCTGGTCTCCCGCCGAGCCAGAGCTCCTCGAGCTCGCGCTACCTCAAGCCCAGAGAGGTCAATACCCCTTTATTAGGGTTTAGGGTTTAGGGTTTAGTTTAGGGTTTAGGAATATACCTTAAATTATACTTTTAAGGCTCTCTAGGGTTTTATAGGGCCTTTTCTGGGGACTCTCTAGGTTCGGGTTTGGGCTTCGGGCTTCCATTTCTTCGAAATAGGAAAAAGGGCCCGTGCACAGGATTGGTTTCGGGACTGCCTATGCAATTTGCTTCGCCCAGCTGCCCTGGGAGCGGCGACTCCGCGGGATGCTTCGCACCCGGTCCCGGGCCGGTCCACCGGCAGCCACGCGCCCTTTCGGCCCCCTCTGGGCTTCTAGGACGGAATGCTCGGGTATGCTGGTCATCTCAGCGACGGCGGACTTGATGCCGATGAGGTGGGGCCGATTGGTTTCAGGGATCTTCACATGGAAGATCTGGGCCTCGAAGGGGCTTCCTGAGCATGTTCGCATGCAGAGGTGCAGCGATGAAGCTGCTTGGGACTCATGGGAGGCAGTCATGAACTGCGCAAAGCGTTCCTGGTCATCATCACAGATATACTGCCGCAAAGGCAAGGACGAAATGCCCGGCTCAATCTGTGAGTCTTCTTCGGGGTTCTTGATGTGTAACAAGGCCAAGACATTTTGAGAAGGTTGCATCACTTCGAAACTGTCAGAGAGCTGTTCGCAGCAATCACAGGTAACAGAAAGAAGGCGCCGCGTGGCCGACAGCAGGTGACCCCTCTCCTGCATGCTCTTCTCCGTCTCACGAATCTGGTGCTCCAAATCGACCGTGGTCTGGAGTACATTGCTGAGAAGAATGTCGATGTGCTGCAAGATGGAAAAGACGAAAATACATGTTACAACATCGCTTGTCACGCACCACAGAAGCTCCTTGACAAGCTCGATCTCAACCCCCCCCGTGAAAACCGTGCTGCGATTTGCAAGCACCAACTTGAGTGGACAGCACGCTGCATACGCAGCGAGACCAAACCAGGGATCTCCAATAAATAACGAGATACCAACATAGGCCACGCCATTGGCGTGCCCAATCTGCCTTGGCATATCCACCTGAGAAATTGAGAAGGCTATGGAGAAGGCCGTGGACACTAGCCTGCGTTCCCATAGAGAACGTTCTACAGCAGGGCGGCAGGACCATCGAAATGCAACCAAGACGGTCAGGAGGCTCCAGAGGTGCAAGTCTTCGTATGTTGGCTTCGTCCATGCTGCTGGGAAACCTCGAGTATTCAAGCGGTTTCTGTATAGACGGCCGTGGGAATCTTACACGGTCTCGCATCAAGTAAACTAGGATGCACTTCTGATAAAATATGGTCTAACCGAGCAACCTAAACGCAGCGCGCTCCAGACCAAGAAATAGGCTTCACCACTTCTTGTGAACACCGGAATCCAATCCGGCCAGTTCTTCTTGTGCTCTTGCAGCCGTGCTTGCACAGTTGCATCTGTTGCGGAGTGCGACGGTGGTCCGGGGAAAAGATGCTTCCAGTTGAAAACGATCGGCACAGGAAGGAACCAAATCAGAGAGGCATAGGCGACGGACACAGTGATCAGAAAGGCTACATTGTCCATGGAGTCGTAAAACTGAAAAACTTGCTTTAAGCGCTCTTGGACCAAGAAATCTCCGTACTCGGTAGGTCGCCCATGAACTGCAGTCCGGACACTTTACATGAAAACCGCGAGGGCTCCGCTCTAATTTTCAAGTTGGGAGCATCCACAATTGCGCACACTTCAAAGCATTCTTGATTGGCTGTAAATTTTTTAACAAGCAAAACGCTGTTGCAACTGATTGATCAGCAAACGTAATGTTCCACTCTCTTCGGCTGCGGCAATCTTCGAACATTCAGACTCATGCAAACCTTTAGTTCTTCCTAGTTGGCATTGTTTTTTCCGCATCTTTCCGCAGCAGTGCTGAAGTCTAGAATGCGTTCTCAGATTGTCTCGAAAGGCGGGTAGAAATGGCAACAGCAGAGAGGCATTCGAGGCAGGCTGCAAGACGTCGCTGCAAACCTTTTGTACAAGCCATCAGCACGTCAGCAGGTGCTCCTTCTACGCATACAATCAGCTCTTCACGAGGACTTCACAATGATCTTCCAATTGTATCAGTCATTGTCCGGAAGGGTCTGGCGCGTCAGAGGGTGGGTCGGAGGGTTTTCAACACCACCTGCCATGTGTTGCCAAAAGAGTTCCTAAACCCTAAACTGAACCCTAAAACTCTTACTCCTAAACCCTAAAACCCTTCCCAAACCCTAAATTCTGAAACTCTACCTTCCGCTTTCCACCAGGTCGGACACTCGACATCCAAGCAAGAGCCCGCGCACACACTAGATGATGCAAGATGTCACCATACGCCCGGTTTAGGGTGTAGGGTTTGGGTTTCGGATTTAGGGTTCGATGCTTCTCGGTGGCTAAACTCTAAAGCCTAAACCCCAGCTCCTTGCAGAGCCTGCAGGAATGTCTCGGAATGATGCAAAAGGCCCTAAAGGTGTTTAGAGTTTAACCATGCTATTTACTTTAGGTCTCGATTATGGTAATTTAAATGTTTCCAACCCAGTTTAGAGCTGATGGCTCGACAAGTGGCAGATTATCCGCAAAGTCGAGGATTGTGGGTTCAAAAGGTGGAAATAGGAATCATAGCGAATCTGGCATGAACAACTACATCTATTTCTATGAAATTTGATAGCTAGTAGCAGTCGCAGCACTAGCATTCCTACTACTTTGTCATTTTTGACTATGGTTGTTTAAAATTCATAAGACTATGATTATTGCTGCTACTAATATATTTCTACTTGCTATCACTTCGATTGAGACGATCAGTACTACACCACGCGAGTCTCATTGTTGCTATTCAGACTTTTGACCTTGTTCTCGAACGTTCCTGGAAAACCACGCTTAGAGGCGTCGGTAAACGTGTCGCGTGAAAAACTTAAGGTCCCTCCTAGACCTTTTCCCTTGGAAACAAGTCCCTTGACAACAGCGGACAGCTGCAAGTCTTTTTCACTCAGCTTGAGCCAAACGTTCGCGGTGCGCAACAGAGTTCACACATAAGTGTGGAAACGAATTCAAACAACCGAATTAGCGTATTGGGCTCTAACCACACAAAGATTTACAGAGTAAATCTTGT